CAGGAATTCGTGGCCCAGCACCTCCTTGCAGTGCCAGAAAGCGAGAGATGAGCTGAACCCCAGAGAGGAGAGGATGGAAAGCCACTGTCTTCTCCTCTGAGTTGCCCTGGCAGGGCAGCCCAGTCTTGCCTGAGCAGGGTGTGCAGACAAGGAGCACGGCACGCAGGAGGCTATGCCAGGCTGAAGGCCACCACTGCCCAAGGACGGCCACCTAAGACGTGCCGCTGAAATACAGATGTTGTCAGCCAGCCTGTCAGAGCATGTGGTATGTACCACAAGAGAGAGATCAGTCCAATCTCTCACTTCATCGTTACTATGCCCTTTCTTTATGCTATGAATTCTCTGCAAATTAATGAATCACCCTTTTAAAAATCAAGTAATTTTTCTTGACCTTGAGTGGTAGTAATTCCAAGTTATACCCTCCCCCTTCTACCCTACCCCTGCCAGTGGATCCGTGCATCAGTGCAGGCTGTACTTGGACACAAATTGGAGAAAAAGCAGACTTTGGTGCTGATGAACCTGACCCTGAACCAGACCCCAGAATGGTCCTGCAGAACCCTCCTCTGGACAAGTGTAAAGAGTCAGACTTTCTGCTAGTGAAAAAGCTGGTGCCAGCTGAGGAAAGCTTGCCAACAACAAAATGTGTCCAAAGCTGAAATTCAGGCCCCTACATGTAGCAGCTTTAACAAAAACACATTCCAAACTTTCTAGAGGCTTCAGGGGAAAAGGAAAACAAAAAACAGCAGAAGAAATAACAACACAAAATAAACAAAAAATACCCCCAAAACCCCAAACACTGTGCGGAAATCATGTTTCCTTTCCAGGTGACTGAATAACTCATGGCTCTTTTGCAAAACAGGGTAAACTCTTTCTGTTCTGCTCCTCCAAGCCTCTCATCAGGGAAATAACACACCCATTGCCCTGCTCTGTACCACAGCAGTGGCACCCACATCTTAACAGGAATGATGAAGGCGGCGAACAGATGGAGTAAAGGGGGTTTGCAAGCTGCTGGATCAGCTTCCCATGCTCCCCATCCTAAATCAGAAGCCAGAGGGCAAACTAGCTGCTGTCATGCTCTGGGGAGTGTTTGTTTGCAAGGTAACTGAGCTGGGATGGCGGGTCTTCCCTTGCCCTGTTACACACTCAGTAATTCATCAGGGCAAACGCATAGGTAATTGATGGCAATGAGAGCGCAAAGCCAGGAGAGGAGGAGAAAATAAAAACACTAATCAGCCTCTGGAGAGGCTTGAACATATGAAGCAGGATGTGTGTGCGCATGTGCAGTACTGGGATTCGCCTTGCTTTTTCTTCGTTGAATTATGTCTGTGGTTGGTATGGCAGAGAAAAGGCCTGGGATACATCCTGCCATTTGCAGTTTCTATGCCAGATCTCACAGTGCCCCAACACCTCCCAGGGGCAGCCAGCACACGAGGAAGGATTAGCTGTATAGGTTGAAGCTTGTCGAGCTGCGCTTTACTCATTATTTTTTTGGTGTTACTTTTTGTTGAGGACCAAAAGAAGTAAAAAAGGCCCAGTCGAGTGCCAAAGACGTGTTGGTGCCAAGACCTCATTAGTGGAGACCTCTGAGATCCTACTCCTCCACCTTGGCCTCTGAAGTGGTTTGTGTTGATGCCTTTCCCCACGATCCCAAACCCAGATATTTACTAGGTCATGCAAGGCCTTGGGGGCATTGTGTAGAACTCATGGTGCCCTGCAGCACAGGCAGTGGGCTGGGAAGGAAGATCTGGACTCCCTGGGCGGGTGTGAGGGGCGCTGGGGAGAGAGCAGACTAAGAGGCAGCTGGTGGCTCTCAAACCTGGAAACCATTTCTCCTAAAAGCCCAGGAGGTGCTGTTACAACAAGACTCCCACACTTGCAAATCTGGTTCTTGCTCCCCCACGTGAAAGCTGTGGAAATGAACTTCAGACAATAGTGAGCTGTCACAACAGCAAGACTCCAATCAATGCCACTTTGTTAAGAACCACGTGAACTCCACACTGCTTTGCACAACCTTGCCTCTCACCAATTTCTGTCCCTCCTGTTCCCTGATACTCATCTCACCCCAAGGGCATTGAAACAGCCCTTGGCAGAAGTGTGATGAGCCACCCTTTGGTGAGGCAATATCATGGCTGATGCAAACGTCAGAGGAATCAGTCCTAGTCGTCTCTGCATCACTTTGAACTAAACTGAAGGGTCACAGTAGCTGGACCCTACAACAGAACAAAACAATCCATCACACTTCAACCTACAAAAGACCCTACACAAAGCATCTGATTTTGAGACAGCTCCTTGCACTTGGAACACCTTGACTATGGGCAACAATGTCCTTTACATGGTCCTGTATGCCTCACAGACACTTCAAACAGATCTCCAAGAACTTTCCATGAGGGGAAAAATGGAATGGAACAGGAGCTCAAAAATTTCTAGCTGGTGGCACTTATGAATTTTTCTCCTGGTACTTCTGAATTCATCTTTCAAATATTCCCTATTTCTAAATGGAAATCAAGATCTGAAATGCAGCCCTTGTAGAGAAGAACACAGCCAGCCTCTGACAGCCCAAAGGAATGCCACAGGTGCGTTAGGCAGGGTGGGAAATGGGAAAGAAGATCCTAAATCCCATCAGGGGAATTTCAGGTGGCAACAGCCAAAGGTTTGAGCTGGCACTTGGCCAAGATTTTGGGGTTAACACCTTTCCTTTTGCCAAAGAGATACTGTATTGATTGCCAGGCATTCAAAACTACTCTGCTGCTCTTCCAAAAGAGCACAGCGCCTGCCTCACCCCTCTTAGTCAATGGCTTGCAGCCGCATACAATGAAGGAGTGGTCTCCAGTGACTCACCAGCATGCACTTCCTGCAGGAGCAGACTTTCACTGGAGGTCTCTGCCATGCACTGATTCAGTTCTGCCCCACATAAGTGTGGAGCTTGAACATCTGAGCCATTAGAAGAGGAGGACTGAGTTTCCAACACAAGGGGAGGGGGCCTTAGCAAGAAGATGAGAGATTCAGAGATGTGGCAAGATTATAGCTCCAAGTGACATGGCTGCACATGAAAGTGAAAGACCTGAGATAACATTGTGATTGGGTTGGGGCACGCTAAGAGAAACTGCAAGCCCCAGCATCCCTTGCCCCAGCTGAACGCTGGGAGCTTTATGGGAGCTGAGGGGAAATGGCAGCGTGTACAATGGCCCATCTGGCTCTCATCTAAATCCCTATCAAAAAAGAAAGAACAGGTTTGGCGTTGGCTTGCAAATGGAAAACACAGGGCCTTTTACTCTAGGTCACTGGTTCACATCTAGAACCAGCACATAGTAGCGACAGCAGAGATGTTATTATCTGAGGGCCAGTCAATGGCTTGTATTGAGTGAGGTCTCTAGCCATTGGCTGTCTGCTGGGACAGGACAGTGGAGATGCCTTTGGGATAAAGCAGGGTTGCCTTCTCCTGCCTATGCAGTATTTCCTCTTTGGACAAACAGAGCACAAAGCAGCCTCAGGATCCACTTGAATGAAAGATCTTTCCCAATGGGCCTGATCCATTGATGCTCCGCTTGTTCTCTCTTAAGGTTTGGGAAGTCTACCCATCGAGTCACCACTGGGATTCACACAAAGGCCCTAAACAAGACCAGGGCCATGTTTGTCCTAGGTTCTTTACAGAAACAGATGAAATAAAAGCAGATGCTAGGGTGAGACTGGCCACAGATCAAACAGGCAGCAAAAAACAGAGATGAACATCAGACTAGACCACTAGTTCGTGCTGTCTGTGCTTTGACCTTGCAAATAGTCCCAGCTACAGCCAGC